CAAGAAGTAGGTTTCGGCTTATGCGGTGGACGTGGAATGCGCAAAGGAGTTCGACTACCCACCCTAGAGATTATAACATGAGTGGTATGCATTTTAACGGAGCTTTTGGACAATGCATCCTGCAGACCAGCATGTTGTAGCAGACCAAAGTTGTTGCGACTACACAACGTTTGCAAAGCGTTGTGATAGGAGTTCTTTGAAACAACGTTAGTTCGTCCACCATGGAGACCCAAAATACCTTCGCTTGTAGAGCTGCGGTAGTGTACAACTTCAGAGGTTGGGTTTAAAGAGTACACCTCCTCGAACATAAAACGCAAGTCTGCCCAACGCAGGTCACCGGAATGCTGACAAGTAACGCTAAAAGAATTGGACTGAAATATTACAAAGAAAGACTCTCATTCATACAATATTTGTTAAATTAACCAAACCATCTGATTTTAAAAATGAAGTTTCGATTCACCTCGAAGACATCATCCAAAACAGCAACCGGAGCGGTGAGAATGTTTGACTGGCCGCAGTGGAGCAAACCGGGCTTCCTTAGCATCCAGCTGAAGACAGTGTAGCGCTTATGGAGAAATTGGAATCTCTCCTCCAGTTCATTGTTACGAAATCTTACGTCTAGCTCGCCAAACATAAAAGAACAACAATAATCGAGATCGGCAGACTCTGGACGACCATTTATCCACTGGTCGAGTAAGTTGGACTCATTAGCAAGTCCACGAACAAATTTCTGACCTCTTTTGTCCATCTACCGTAATAGAGGCATTCGTCTTGAGTTAAAGGAATGCAAAGGCGAGGCGTTGAGTATAAGATGCAAAAAACAATGGAAATTGGAAAGAAAGTTCAGTCTCCACGTTTTTGCATGAGGTTCTGCTTGGGTTTTATAGCCAATTTTTTGCTCTAATCCTACACATAAGATTTCATTGAAAGAAAAAACTAATTACATGTAATTTGTAACCAGGTAACTGCACGTGATCTTTACCCATGCTTTACTAGATTCTTGCATGTCATTGAAATTGTTTAAAGTTGATACAAACGTCATTCATGAATGCCACTCTTTCTTTTAACACACAACTCTATTTCTCATCTGTGGTGACTGTTTGAAAATGATGATGGGGCAAAATAAAGCTGATAGATCACGGGTTGCATCGACATACAATTTTCTTTATTTGCTTGATGATTGTGTTAAACTAGAAATTTTATTATGGGGAAAAAATGAACAGTGCAATAACATGAAAAAAATAAAATTGTCCCTATTATCTGTGGCACTCAAATATGTAAATGCATAACTATAAAACTCGGGAAAAAATACAGATACTAGTACCCAGTCCCATGCCAAAAAATAAAAAAAAAATAAATAAATAAAAAATAACATTTACACGGTGTGCACACATTAATTAAAAGATGTAGAATAATAAAGGGGGTAGATTTGTTATTGTGTTTCTAGTCCGGTTTACCAAATTAGGACGACAAACGCATAACACAGGATATAAAAATAGTCTCGTCCTGCTTCACTCACACGTAACAAACACGTGATCGTATTTATCTCTACACCCCAATCTTGTGGCCAAAGATTAAAATTATCTAATCTCTTTTGGACTAACAAACACACACTTAGTTTAATGAGATATATATTACTCCCTCCATTTTTTAATAAATGTCGTTTTGAAAAAGTTGCACAGTAATAAAGAATATTTTTTTTTTCAATAATAACCCTCATTAATGAAGATATAGATGGATGTTTTGAGAAAAAAATTAAGAGTTAATATAAAAAACGTAGTGTAATTTATTAGTTAAATGAGGGCAATAATGAAAAAGTATGTACAAAAAATCTAAAACGTCATTTATTTTGTTTATGGTTCATAAAGTCAAAATGACATCTATATATAGTATATATATACATATATATAAGGAATTACCATTTACCAAAAATATTAACCATAAATTTGAGGACATCATTAATTGCTTACTATTTTTATTTAGTTTTTAATAAAATTGAAACAGTCGAATCAACATTTGACTTATGTAGCTTACATATTTGGAATGTAGTTCAAATACAAACTAAAATCCTCTAAAATAAAGGAGTTAGTTGATTCCTCCATAATACAATCTCATCACATATCACAATACAATAGATTACATTTTTTTTTACATAAAATCTAATCAGCCTACAAATTTGGAATCAAATTGAAATACAAATTGGAATCTTTTAAAATAAAAAAATTAGTCTATTCCTCCATCATACAATCACTTATCAAAATACAATTATTTTACCTTGCAAAAAAAAAAAATATTACAATTATTTTTTATTTTATTTATTTTTTTTTTCAAAAAATCAATTAAGCCTACAAATTTGGAATCTAGTTTTTACATAAAATCAATTAAGCCTACAAATTTGAAATCTAATTTAAAATACAAATTGAAATCAGATATATCACTTTGAACTGAATTCTAACCACTCCTATTTTCTTTCATACATATTATTCTAAATCCTACCAGATATACACTAAATTTAAAAACTTAACAGAAAATATTAACTTTTGTAATGAATCTTCGAAAATCAATAAAGATTAACAACATTGCATCACGGAAAATTATTTGCCGTACAAAAATAAAATAAATCAATTATGTATTCTAATAAAAAATGAAGATCTATAACTAGATTTAAGGCGTTTTGTGTTTAAAAAAACTTAATAAAAAATCATAATATAAAACACAAATTTTAAATAAAAAACACAAAAACAAATTAAAATAGACCCAAAGTTCATAATGCATAATTTCTGAACCGTGAGGGATATGGAGATAAGTGAAAAGTGATAACATAAATGTAAGGATGCGGTGAACAAAATCAGAAGCCCTAAAAATTCGGACATGGATTGCCTTTTATAGTTGATAGCCTTTGTTCCGGTCCATTGGATTTATGATAACAAATTTAAGCCGTTTGATCAATAATTAAATGAATTTTGTAGATTTAATATCATCTGAACTGGGCCGGATATTTAGGCTCTATATCGTACTTATATTTTTATATTGGGCTATCTATTGGATCCAGTAGTTATAATAAAATGACCAATTAAAATTATTTTCTACTTTTTTTTTGTTCAAATATATGGCCCAATTTTGTATTTTATGTTTTATGAGTTTTAAAATTGGTATGGGTTTTATAATGCAAAAAAAAA